GTGCCTGATTCGAAGTTGATGCTGGGAACAGAGATTGTATTTGTGACTTCAAAGTCCTCCCGGCTTGTGCCTGCCACCCATCCCTCGGGGGTTTATTTAATCAGCAATTAACATCTTTCATTCCTTACTTTGCTCCAGTTTCTGGACAAGTCACAAAGTCGCAAGGGACAAATCAGACCTAGCTCTTGACTTCCAGGGGCTCCCAGCTTTTGAGGAGAAGTGGGTAGGTGGAATTGAGAGAGACTGGAAGGTCAGGTCCAGTTCCAGAGGTGACTGTTGTGTGAAAGATGCTCATTGATTGGCGTCCGTTGCAGTCAAGCACTGGCAAAGGGGATGAGAGACTTATTTACTTGTTGGCACTTGCTAACTGTACAGACAACTGTCTGTCTATACCGACCCACAGGCACTGTTGTGAGCCAGGGGACAAAGCTGTGCCACGAACATCTCTCCTCACCTGATCATGGGGATCCCAACCTTAAGAGCAGGTCTGCACGTCATGGGGGATACTGTAGAAAGGGAGGTAGGAACAAGAGTCAGGACTAGGTGTAAGTGGTGCAGTCAGAGGCAGAGTTATCCGAAGAGAGCAGAGATGGACGGACAAAGAGGGGAGGGATCTAAGGAGATTCCTCCAGAGGAGTCTCAGAGTGAGGCAGGATGAAGCGCGGTTCTCAGTGTCCTTCTCGCTCTGACCAGTGTCAGTTCCATCCTCTGACCACAAGGAGGTCTAGTGTGGTGCACTCTGGCCTGGCCCCAATTCAGATCCCCAGGATACAGGCCCTCAGTATGCTTTGCCCACCCTAGGACTGATAGATAGGCAAAGACACAGTGACCCCAGAAGTGAGATTTTTAAAAAAAAGATGTGTGTGGAGACAAGGGCACCTACAGACCCAGCTGTGAACAGTCAAGATGAGCTCCAAGAAAGAGGCCTCCTCGGACTTTACCTCCTTCCCAGACAGAAATCCAGGGCCTCTTCCTCAGGAAACCTGAGAATCCAGCCACAGGGGCTCAGGCTGCCCCCACCTCCCTCTCTGTGAAGCCCCCTAGGATCAGAGCTTGATTCTCCAAATGTCTCTCTAGCTCATCCCACTTCTGTCAAAGGACTACCAGCACCTCTGGGGCTCGCTTTTGCTTCTCTCCACATAACCCTAAACACAGAAAGCCCCCCCCCTGAAGTCTAGGTGATTTAGGAGATGATAGGAATGAATTTGGACCCTGGAAACTCCAGCTTCAGAGGCTCTGGATGTCTAGACCCCCTAACCGAGGCTGAGTCCTGGATGGGGATTTACCAAGGGTCTCCGAAGGGTAGGTACTGGGCTCCAATCAGACCCTATTTCATGGTGAGTACTAAGGGGAGCCACGGTATGATCTGGATATTGGGAGAAGCAGGAAGAGAAGAGATCGGGTCTTGTAGAGACAGAGAAAAAAAAACCAACTCCTCATAGGGGAAAATTAGGTAGTGAGGACTCTTAATCTTGGAGGGTGTGCCAGCAGACTGAGCTGTGGCAGGACTGGAGGAAGAGTCACAGGAAAGGGGTTCTGGCACTCTCCTAAGAGGTAAGCAGACTGGGGATCCCCCCTAAGGGCCCCTCTTTAAAATTCTCACTTTGATTCCTGGTGACACCTCTGGTCCTAGGCTTCAAGGAGCACTCCCTCTTCTGGGCCCTAAGAAGGACATAAATGTCTCTTCTTTCACCTCCGCTTCACACCAAGAGAAGGCTGACATTCGCAGAAAACCCAGAGAAGCAAGATGAAAACACGTGAAAAAAATTAAAACAAGTGACAGAGAAACCAAGGTTGCATGGAGGGGAGAAATTGCTGGCCAAGCCCAGCTTCTTCCTCAGAAATATTAAACCTTGCCCTGTCCACAGCATCGCTGCCTGCCCCTCACGAGGGAGGCCTACAGTCCTGTATGAAAATGTCTTTGGTAGCTGTATCTGGTCGGGGGTGGTCTGTCCGATCTCAGGGTTCTGAGCACGAATTAGAACAGACTGCCTAGTTTCCGATCTCTAGTGGCCCACCTTTGACTGACTATGATATCAGGCAGGCTTCTCAACGTCCCTGCGCTTCAGGGGCTTACAACTACATGGGAGTAGTACCCCTCCCCATATCCTTAACTGCTCTGGGGTTCAGGCAGGAGAGGAAGGAGTGCTGGGAAACAGGAAGACCCCTATGGGAATAACTGGACTAAAGGATGAGCTGGCCTGGCTGGGAAATAAAAAAAAAAAAAAATCTGAGGGGACACCTGAAGCCAAGTTGTACCTATGTTGTCACACCTGGCACCTGCAGGCCTGAGGTCTAGTCCTGCTGGGCTCAGGAACTGGTCAAAGTCCAACCCCTCAGGCCTTTGTCCTGGTTGGCACAGGGTCTGTACCACTCTCCCAGGTCAGGAGCCTCTGTGTTCCTGGTGGGTTGGACTGCCATCTTGTGGCTGGAGCTGGAATCTACCCTAAACTGGCTGTGTTGAATATCTTCTTGCAGCCCTGCTAGAATGGGCCAAGGAGCTGACTGGTGTTCTCTTTCCAAGTGAGACTTCTTCCCTCTAATGGGCAAGGGAGAGCAAACCTAGAGACGCTATTATGGGCAATTGGTGTTTTAGCTTGGATGGTGACCCTGATGCTGGGCTGGGCTGCATGCAGCTGAGGCGGAGACTCCAGAGAAGTTCAGAAAAAGGCTGAGGTGAAGAACACTCAGTGTGTGTGTGTGTGTGTGTGTGTGTGTGTGTGTGTGTGTGTGTGTGTTTAGACCAGGGCCTCTCAACTTTTGCACTGAAGATACTCGAACCCTGCACCAGAGAACTGGGGTGCTGTGCTCTATATGGCAGGGAAATTGCAGGTTCTTTCTAGCCACTAGATGTCCTTAGAAGCTACTTTCCCAGCCACGGGCATCCAAAGCATCTAGCATGGATGTCGTCAATCCCTTGTCTTCTCTGGACCACATTGGATAGATTATCTTGAATTACACATTAAATTGGAGGGTGTCTGTGGGTTACAGGAGCATGTATGTTTTTATTTTGTGTGATATTCCTACGCCTGAACCATGCAACTGAGTTGGCAAAAAATCGAAAAGGGAATCCTACAATATTTTAAGTAAATTCAGGACTTTTGTGTTGGGCTTCATTCACAGCTATCCTGTGACCAATGAGCGGCAGGTTGGACACCCCCTGGCCTCCATCTCCACAAGCTGTCCCTAAGGGTCTAAAAATCTCTGGGCAGGTTTGGTTGTAAACATTGTTTCTGCTGCTCACTTGCTGCATTAACCAGTCAGCTCTCTTCTCTGGGCTTCTGCTTCCTCGTCTGTGTGATAGGTTTTAATGAGTTAGTGTTCTGTGCTCCTCCGTTTTCCTCTTCTCTCAGGATTAACCCCATCCCATCTCTCTTCCCTAGATCCCTGCCTGCCCATAGCCATAGAGTGTCAGTATGGCTGGGGGACAGGACATCAGCCCTCTTTGGGCTTGGCCTTTGGGAGGACAAGGACTTCACCACCACCACCACCACCACCACCTTTCCTGCTGGCTCTAAGAATGAAACAGGGAGCTGGGATGATGAACTTTCTGGACCCTGACTGAGGGCAGCAAGGAAATGAAGAAAGGACAGACATGCAGACACATGTACAGGATATCTGGGGTCCATATGCAGGATGCACTTGGATGGAGGGTGCCTACCAGCCGGGAACCTCAGCCTATTTAAGAGGTACAGCACAAGCTGGGGGTGGGGCTGGCTAGTCCTGCTCAAGGTCTCCTTTGGTGAGCTGTCCCAGGCTGTAAGCATGCAGGAGGAAGAGCTGCACTGCTAACCTTTGAACACACTGGCCTTCTCCCTTACACTCCGATGTGGGGGAAAGCATCACCATCACTCTCGAGCCTGACTTTTTTGGTAAAATGGCTTTGCAAGCTTCCTGTGGGTCCGAGGTCTTGGTTTCTGTCATGGCTGCATCTATGTCAATAACACGCATTCACTCCAGACTTCACACAGGACTACTGCTCCCTACAAAGGCACACGAAGATAGTGGGAGAGCACTGGGCAGTGGGGGATGGTGGCTGCAGCACTGTTGAAGCATGCTCCCAGCAGCACGGGGCAGGGCCCCTGGCTTTTCTTTACAGAAGTAGCTGGGGATTCTGCATTCCTCCATAGCGTCTCTCTCACTCTGTAGTGCTGCTGAGGTCCTCCTTAGGATGCCTTGTGGCTCACTAGTGGGTGCCTGGGTGTCTATCAGCCTGAAGGTGGCCGGGCCAGCAATTATCGACAGGCAGGTCCAGGAGATGCTGGGCGGGCCTGAAGTCAAGGCATTTTTAAGGTTACACTTTTAAAAATAGCAAAAAGAATAGAAAATGGGAGATTTAAGGAAATTTTTACTTATATAGAAAATAAATCAGGATGACATTTAAATTTTTTGAAAGCTGATAAATATTAAATGATAGATATGTTAAATATGCATAACATTTATAAATTCAGAGCAAAGCTTTGTTTCTAAAAAAAACTTTTCATACAGACAGAGAGAGAGAGAGAAAGAGAGAGAGAGAGAGGTCATGGCATGTCCATGTATGTCAGAGGACAGTTCGTATGATGTATCCTGTGACTGAGGATTAAACTCAAAGTCCTCAGGCTTAGCAGCAAGTGCTCTTACCTGCTGAGCCATCCTGATGGGGGCTAAAACCCACACACTCACTAACTGTCTAGCAGTACTTCAATCACTTCTATTTATTCAGACAAAACCGTGGCCAGCTTTATTGACAGTTGCGGGATGATACTCAGTACAAGAGGATAGATATGGAGACCAATGCGTGGAACTGGGAGTGCAGTGTAAACCCACAGTTACGGGCAAGAGTGTCAGAGCGGCTTAGCAGAGAGATAGTCCTCAAGGAATGAAGCCAGGGCAACTGGAAATCCACACGGAGCAAAGCAAATTAGAATCTCTGTCCTGTTTAAACAGACCATTTAAAAAAAATAACTAAGTGGATCCAATTCCAAACTGTAAGATCTAAAAACTCGAGGTAGGAAAGTTTTTCTTTATTTGACATAAGAACAGAAGCAAAGGTTGAGCTTCGTTGGAAAAGAGGAATTTGTGCTTCAAAGAACACTAACAAGAAAATGAAGAGACAACAGAATGAGACACGTCTGTAGGCCACAGAGCCACAGAATGAGACACATCTGTAGGCCACAGAGCCACAGAATGAGACACATCTGTAGGCCACAGAGCCACAGAATGAGACACATCTGTAGGCCACAGAGCCACAGAATGAGACACGTCTGTGGGTCATGGAGCCACAGAATGAGACACGTCTGTAGGCCACAGAGCCACAGAATGAGACACGTCTGTGGGTCATGGAGCCACAGAATGAGACACGTCTGTAGATCATACAGCCGATGAGGTTCTGAAGAGACAACAGAATGAGACTTGTCTGTAGGTCATGGAGACAATGAGGTTCTAGCATCTAAAACATAGAAGGAACGCTTACAACTCAATACAAAGGCATCCCAATTTAAAAGGGTAAGTTTTTGCAAAACCATACTAGAAAGATGGTATGGACAGCCAGTATTGTTAACACCGTTAGTTAAACTAACATTTGGATCACTCTGCATCCGTTAGGACAACAAAATAGACAATAACATGCTGTTAGGGATGTGGAGAAATCAAAGAATTTCAGTTTTAGGTGTTGTAATAATTATTTTTAATGTTTATCAAAAAGTAACTGAACTGTTTGCGCTCAAATTGTGTGACAGGAGGATGAGAAGATGGTCGCATCGCCTCAGCATGCAGGGTGGGAGGCAGACACAGACAGAGAGAGCCTCGTCCTGGGACCCCTGGCATTGAGATAATGTCACTCACATTCGTCTCCCTACTTCAGTGGACCCTCCCTGGAAACACTCTCACAGACACACCCAGGTTTCTCCTTACCTGGTTCAAAACCCCTGAAGCTGATAAGATTGGCCCTGACAGATGTATACATTTATATCAAAACCTTGTGATGCTCACAGTTGCTCATGGCAGCTGGGAAAGGCAAGTAGCCTAATGTCCATCAGCTGATGGACAGATACAATGTGATGCTCCCATATCACAGAATTCTATTCATACATGGTAGTCATGCCCTAACATGTATGATGTGAATAAACCTGAAAAATCTGCTGAATGAGAGAAACCACACAGTGTGATTCTACTCACATAAAATGTCCCCAAACAGGCAAATCCATAGGGATAGGTTAGTGTTGTCCAGGGCTGGGGAGGGAGGTTAATGGTGCTGGACAGCTTATGACCACGTTTCTTTGGAGAATAGAATGTTCTGGAATTAGATAGTGGTAATGATTGTCACACAAACCACTGAACTATGAACTTTATTAGAGTTTTATTTATTTATTCATTAGCTTTTTGAGACAGACTCTCATGTTGTAGCCCAGGCTGGCTTCGGTCTTGCGGCAATCCTCCTACTTTACTCTAGAAAGTATGCAATACCACTAGAAGGAATTAAAGAGGTGGATGTTATATCATGTGAGTTTTCTAAGTATGCAATACCACTAGAAGGAATTAAAGAGGTGGATGTTATATCATGTGAGTTTTATCTTTGAATAGTACTTTTAAGATTATTTTATATTATGTATATGAGCATTTTCCTGTATGTATACACACGTGTACAGTACCTGTAGAGGCCAGAAGAGGGTGTTAGCTCTCCTGGAGTTAAAGATAGCTGTAAGCCACAGCATGGATGCTGGGAACTTAAGGAATCTTCTGCAAGAGTAGCCAGTGTTCTCAATTACTGAGCCATCTCTCCAGCCCCATGAGTTAGTTACATATTAATAAACAATGGGACACAATAAAGAACAATGACCAGGAGGCTAGAAATAGCTGCTGTTGAGAAAAAACTCAGTTGCATGGTCTTCTGATTGTTTATCTGTAAAAGTTCTAGTTCATTATATTTTCCTTTTTCTGAAATGCTTCAGTTGAATTTCAGAACACGGATATACCTTTCTCAAAATATTTATTAAGTGTATTTATCTAGTTGTGTGTGCATGCACACACACACGTGCACCATGGCACACATGTGCAAGTCAGAGGACAACATGGAGTCAGTTCTCTCCTTCTACCGTGTGGGTTCTAGGGATCAAATTGAGGTTCCAGACTTGGTGGAAATCACCTTAAATGATTGAGCCATCTTACAAGTCCCAATCTACTTTTTAAAATCATTAACTCTGTCACAAAGAGAAATCTCAAGTCCAAATATGTGTACAATAAAGTGGGCATTGACTTCTGGCTCCATATGCATGCACACACCCCACACCTTATTTTTTGTGTCAGACTTCCTCCTTGGTCCTGGAGTTTGCTGATCAGGTTAAGTAAATGGACCCATGAGCCTCAGGGACCATCCTAAGGTACACTCCTACAGAGACTGGGGTTATAATACACATCTCTGTGCTTGACTTTTATGTGAATGCTAGGGCTGGAACTCAGAGCCTCAGGACAGAAGGCAAGCACTTCACTGACTGAGCCAACTTCCCAGCCTTCAAATGTAAAATTTTTTAAGATAGTAATGGCTTATATGCAGGCTGTTCAAATGTTATCAGACAGGAGAACAAAAACAAAATAACCAAGAATCACTATCCCATTATCCTCACCCTCGTCCATTTCCTTTGTTCTCTCTCTCTCTCTCTCTGTCTGTCTGTCTGTCTCTCTCTCTCTCTCTCTCTCTCTCTCTCTCTCTCTCTCATCTTGCTGTATAATCTTTCAGTCTTTTAGAGATTTTGTTGATAATGTTTCATTCCATTGTTTTCTATACGAAGAGTCCAGTGTTCATTCAACCTGGTTGATCTTGTTTTGTACCATTGATAATTTTAGAATATTTCTTTCGAGCTTACAGCTATGTTGGAAACATCAAGTACATTTTTAGGATTGGTATCACATTTGGAGAAACCTCAAGTTTCTTTCTTCCATAGACTGTGGGGATTCAAAGAATTTTGAATTTTCTCATATGGTGATAATTTTAAATACTGCCTGACTGATGATTCTCATAAAAGTTTAGTTGATATTGTTGAGGTCTTGCCATAGTGGCATCTTATGAATTTTATGTTGTCTTGTTGATGTTAATAATTTATGCCAGATCAGCAAGAAATATTTTCTTTATATTTCCTTATTATTTGCTTTTCTTCCTCTACTGGATTAACAACCAGCTCAAGAGTCTTTGACACAATTCCACTGAAAAGTTCTTTTCTCTTTTCTGCACCCCACTTCTTTCCTTTTGTACTGGATATCAGGTTCAGGGCCTTGTACAAGTGAGGGTTTCACGCTGAGGTACACCCCCAGCCCTACAAGTG